TAAATATATTATTTATAAATTTATAAATTTGCAAATAATACAAGATGTAATTATATTCATGACTGAAATACATCAGTACTTCAGTACCTTGCTTATAGTTAGTATACATATTATGAAGGTTAATATAGTTTCATGGCAAGTGAAAGCATTAAAGTTATTACCATTGAAAATATTTCCTAATAATTTAGAGAAATATTGCTACTTTGAAGTACCAAAAATTATACAATATTTAAAAAACTAAATTTATGACAGATATCTTGAAAATGACATTGAAATACACGTCCATTAAAATTCATATGACTATATTTAAATCACAATCTTATTCCTCGTTTCTTTAATACCAAATTATTCTGTTTACTAAAAACGTAAAAACTATCATTCGAAGTTATTACATTCGTAACTCAGAGTCCGCAGTTTTATAAAATGCAGTATCATTTAGAGATCGTCTCGTATATGAAGAAATCTTCATGAATATTAAAGAAGAAAAATGTAATTCAAAAAGTCACTTCGATCTGTTGCGTGTGCCATATAAAGAATCGTAAAGCAAATGGAGCCATTTTTAAAACTGGCTGATGGTGTATAAAAGACATATTTATAATTCGCGTGAAGTTTATTATAATAATAGGTAATAAAATATTAATACGATATTTATGAAGATTTGTTTTTACCTCGTTTGGTTTTCCTTTCGAGCACGAGAACCATTTTCGTTTCAAGCCTGTCATATTTTATTGCTAGTAAAATATCAGGAGTTAGTTCCAATTCCTTCCGTTTCAATTTGATGTTCGATATGGCGATCACAAAATCGTCGTTGCCCCAAATCTCTCGAAGATTTGTCGTCAAACCTGCAGAACGTTTATAACAAAACAAAAATTTATTTCACCTTTAAGAAATTTTATTTGATATCACTAAAAGTATTATTTTTATTTTTGTCTGAAAAATTCCGATTAAATAAATTCATTAACTGTAATTTGTTTATACGAGTAATTAGCTTTGAAAATTTCTTATCCTTTTTTCCTATAATCATTTATTATAACTGGAAGTTGAATGTGTTAGATGAGAAAGGTTAAGTGATCAATGAAAAATTCTGTTTTTCTGGATCTTTTCTTAATTTTCATATTTATGCAAATTAATTATTGTAAGCCATAATAAACTTACTATATATCATAATAAATTAAGTCTCTGTTTCATTTTGATGTTTTTATTGAGTTACACTTATCTAAACTTTTATGTACCTTTTACTGTTAATTTCTTCTCTTTCAGTCGTTTCATTTATTAAAAACATTCGATAATATAAATCAATAACGATAGGAAACATCTGAAATTTTTTAATTTTTTTATAATAAATTTTTTAGTTTTTTTTAAAAGATAATTCAAAAGTTATATTCTTCCATTGAAAAAAATGTTTTCTGAAATTATTATTTTTCTAATAAACGTACAATTTTGTTATAAATCCATTTTATAACGATTTTAATAATCACCTTAATAATATATGGGTATAATATATATATACTTTTATTTTAATAATCAATATATGATCAATAATAAAGCTAATAAAAAATTAAATTTTATCGTTTAATCGTACTTAATGATTTTTTTATCACAAAATATTTCTTTCCTTTATTATTTGTCTTGAAGCAATGCAATAAATCTGTTAACATAGTTTTGTATTAATATGCAATAGTTTTGTCAACCATCCTTTTCCAAAGGAGATTGCTTTTCGCTTAGTAAATTGATTGATGAATTGGTTACAATTAGAAATTCACGAGTTCATTTCCATGATTGGTGAGCATGAAAATAGTTAATTTCCAGCTAAATAACCATAAAAACAATTGATAGTTCCGTGTGTGCCGTTACCGGGTTTCTTGTCAACTTGCATGGGGACTGGTTTGCAACACCGTAAACACCTTATGAGAACGTTCTATGGCTACTGTTTTATTATACAGTTTAAGCAGAAAATAAAGAAAAATGATAATTTAAATAATAGGAGAAAATACAGTTTATTTTACTCTTTATGCTATAGTTGAAAAAGAATCATTAAAAATGCAAATTAGAGTTAGTTAATATTTCAAATCCAGGATCTAGAATTTTTTTACAAAATATCACATTTTTATTAATTAATAAGCCTACCTGTCACTACAACTTTATCTTCGAACACACTATACATAAGTATTTCCCAAAGAAATATAATAAATAGAAAATATTTTCAAAAAATATTACTATTACAAAAATAATAAAATATTATTACAAAATAAAAATAAAATAATGTTACAAAAATAACAGGCTACTTTTTAATCTTTACATTATAGAAAATATTTGAAATTTGTTATCGTTAAATTGTACATTAATATATCGCATAAACCTAAAGCATTCTTTGAGTTTTAAAAATCAAACATTTAAAAGTTTAAGAAACTAAAATTAAAAATTATTCATAGATTTTATTAAATAAGTTATATGACATATATGACATATTATTTCATTTAGTAGATTAATAGATCTTTTTCCATCCAATTTAAACAGATAAATTTAAAGTGACAAAAAGTAGAATGTAAAAAATTATATATATAAAAAATATAAGATTAGTACATACAAAAAACGTAAGATTTAAATACCATTTAAAATTATTAAATGTAAAAGTAACAAAATTTTTCTATTTATACATTAGATTTAAAAAAATTCCATTGCGTGAAATTAAAAGATCCCTGTCTTTACATTAAAAAATCAAAAATTTTTAATTAAAAATTATTTTAGTTTCCAAAATTTTCACACTTTTAACGAGGAAATTCAATCTATGGTAAAGTATTAGAACGAAGAATTCTTTCAATTCATAAAAATTTAAAAAAATGACATTATACCAAATTAAATAATTCTTATCTCTAAGTTAATAAACTAAAGATCTTCAAATTATTTAAAAAATTCCCAGGCTTTTAACAAAGAAATCCAAGCTGGTGAAATCTTTCCTACTATTCTTATGGATGTATGAATTCAATTTTAAAATTTATTATCAAATTTCATGGAAAATTAATTACCAATGTAAATCACAAAGGTGTAAATCATCAAAATGATCGTTTCCCTTTACCTGTATCAGGTACAACACTGAATTCAGCAACGGAGACACATACCGCGATGATCAACACCACGATAATACGCATCTTGAATCACTTTCCTTTTCGGTTGACTGTTTCCCTAATTAACCGATAATTCACGCAAAATCAATTCCCGAAATTTTTCCCAACAAGTTCACGGTTTATTTTTATTTTCAATCAGTTCAACGTAGCACATACCGATCACGAACGAATAAATAGATCGCGGCACGTTGGCGTTCATCGACTGAGACATGGAAAGGCCTACAGACGACTTTATAAGTCACCCACGGCAATTTCCGAGTACAGAGTCGTTGTCCGTGGCACATAGAACGAATGAGATCGATGTATCAACTGATAATCGTTTTAGTGACACTTCTTCCCTAATTATTCGTCACATTAACCTCAATTATTAATCTCAGGTGATCCTGATGCAAGAAGAATTAATGTATTCCTTATTTATAATATATAATACTTTTAGGATGAAAGTTTACTTCAATGACTTTGTCCTAAATCAACTTACATTTTGAAATTTTTTTTAAAAATCTATTTTAGTATGAATAAGAAATATAGATCAATATGCTATTTCTTTGCAAAAACAAAATTTGAAAAAACCGCGAAATGCGATGACCGACTCCGATAATATTAAAGTATGTTATAAAGAATGGAATTCTGAATAACTTTTATTACAACAATAACTGCTACTCAACCTTAGTTTGTCAAAATATTTGCAAAAATTGCTGGTATAATACATTAAACTGTCTACATGTACGCATGTCAATAACGCGTTAGGATTGGAAAGGATAAAAGGGTAAAGTAAACTTTTAGTCTCCATGAAATGTTTACAGTGGTAATGAGGTTAGGGCGTCAAATTAGTAATTATTAAATCAGTCATTTCTTTCAGACGTTCAATGGAATGAAATATCACAATAGTTAAATTAGACAAAATAAATTGAATTGTGTTAAGTTGTCGTGTTTTTTCCTTGATATCATCTTTCTTTGAAATGAAATGCAATTGGAATTGTGCGTGCATGTTGTTTGTTAAAAAATCCTACGCAATTGCCTTCAAGTTTAATTTCACTGGACAAATAAGGTTCCTTGTGATATTTAGACGCCCACGAAACTCATCTGTTTGTATAATTCGATATTGTTTCTTTCAAAGAAACCATAACATAACCTCATATCTGTGGTAAGATTCCTCAATTTCATTTTTATTCTAAAATTGTATTAGATTTTAATTCAGTTCTTTAACTAACAACAGTAAATAAAGTGAATATAAACAATCTTTTATAAAACGAATCTTTTTGAAAAAAGATGTTGTATAACGTGTACAATTTTGTTACACAATTGAGGTAATAATTTTTTTGTTTTCGATATTGATTATATTTTCAAATTTCTTCCATATTATGTTATATTTACATATTTTATTAAATTTGCTTTCTTAGATCCGAGGAAAATGAATTAAAATGGATAAAAATGGATTAAAAACAATTAATAATTAATTTATTCGATAATAGAATTTCGTATCCAAAATAAAGTTATGCATTTCTCGGACTCAGTATTTAAAAATGTACAACAAATAATACAGAAACACAGATATGTTTTAATCGTCGATAATTCTATGTAGTTATAGTATTTGAAAAATTTGTATGGAAAACAAAAAGTATTAAAAAATATTTATTGAGTTAATATTTTTTTCCTTCATTTTATATCAGCAAAATTTTGCTAATTAAAATCGTTATTTACTATAAAAGTTACTTTCTTCAAATTTGTTGTGTATTACTGCATATATTGAAAAATTATTCCATATGTAGATTCGAAAATAATAAATTGAAATATATCTTGAAATAAATCTTGAAATAAATATTACTCGTGTAACAAATAAAATAGATTTACCGTTTTATAAAATTTTGAGTGCCACAAACTGAAATACTGACTTTGGGAAAACAATAGTTTTATAGCGTACTCTACTATTATGTGCAATAAATCTGAAAGTTACAATCACAGACGTTACAACTGTTTCAGCATCAAGATTAATAAATGTCCAAACGAGACCCATAGACATCGCGAAACATAAACTTATTGTAGCACTATTATCATTCTAATGTCATTTCCTACAATATTGATTCAGCATAAAGTAAAATTGCATTAAATGTTGTAAATATTACTATGACATTACAAAGATACAAGACAAAATATTCAGAAATTAAGTCAATTAAATATACCTCATTGATTTTGATCATTTTTTTATATGTTCTAAGAATTAATATTTTGGTCAACTTTTTTAATACGTGTTACCTACTGCTTGGTTTCAGTTTCCGAAATATTTTCAAAAGATTTTGATTAGTGAATCCTGTCTATACGTATATAGTGGTATATACACATCGAAGCTCCAGAATCCCTTTATCAATTCCACTTCACCCACAATGTTACCGACAGGACTTAAAAATTGATTATATCCTATGATGGTAACTGCAATAAATATAAATATTTGCTGTTTTTAAAATACAAATAAATTTTGATGTATTTATAAAAAAGTATTATTTTTCTGATTATCGATCTAATTATATTGTAATATTTTTTTTTATTTATAGATCTATTGCATTTATATCTGGTGTATGAATTCTTTTCATAAGATATATAGTACATAATTATGAAAAATATACAGTTTCTATTGACTGTATACAGTAATGTTCGAAGCTTTAATGAATAATTAATTATCACTTTGAATAAAGATTTTTCACTTCATATATGTACAATATTGTGCAAATTTATTGTATTTACTTCATTCTAAATTCTTTTTACAGCAAATGTTTGAAATTCTCTCTTGTAATAGTCAAGAAATTTTGTCTACGTTTCTTTAAATTTTTAAAAATTTGAGTCAATGTATCGTCAGTTAAGCTAACTACTTAAACCACAGACGAAGTACAGAATAAACCAAACATTATATTGAGCTTTGCAGCTCAACTTCGACTGTTTTACCGACCTAAAACTATAAGACTGATTTTAGCGTCCTCTATACAAGAATGACGGTCACTGGAAAAACTATTTTTCGCAATCGCGGTGCCAAAGAAAAACTGTGTGTGCGAAAATGTATGAAATTGGTTGTGGCAAAAAATAGAGTTGTCAAGAAAAAGAAATCACAAAGGGAATCTAAGTATTTTCCTTCGCGTTAAAGTGACAGAGGGGAAATAATTAGAACTGATGGGAATGCGTCGCCTGGTTACCTAGCAACATGACGCGTAATGTCACTTGGAATACAATGTTATTTTGTAAATCATTAACCGAACCATAATATAACCAAATAACCATAACGCTAAAATGTTTTGGAAATATAATAAATTATAAATTATAAGGAAGGTCTTTAAATGCCATTTAAATGTTCATTTAAATGTCATTTATATATATAAATAAAATATATGTAGCTCGTACAAAACAAATTGATTTCTTATATCTTAACACGTTGACGACCGGTCAACGGAGATTTTCGTTTTTCTACACCTATGTTCTTTATCGTGTTTTTCTTTACTTAAAATTATTGGTATATGATCGTATTTGTTAATATGTGTTGGAAAATGTTTTCTCTAGCATATAGGATTGTTAAATTGTTATCTGCGTTTTATTTTATTACGTAATAGTTATTCAACTTTTTACGTTTTTTAAAGTTTATAACATGCGTAACCCGAAATTTTGCTAGGCATACTTCCGTGAACATTTTTTATTTTATAACTGTTACAATATAACCATAATAAACCGATTTTAGTGCAGTAATGTCATTTGAGTTAAAAGCCTATTATGTGTCCGGTCCTACGTGAAAGAATGGAGATCAAAGACCCGGTCGTCAACGTAACTGTTTTCGTGAGTATATATAAATATTAAAGTATGTATGAAATTGCATATAAAAGTACATATTTATTACATCACAATTATTGTCTATTATATATTGTATATATTATGCATTATACGCTATATTCGCTAAAGCATAAAATAATCGTAGTCAAAACCTAAAAAGCTGTCAGATAAAGAAAACATTTCCTTACATCTTGCGTGAAGATAAGAAAAAAGGATCGGAAAAGTAGAAGAATGACACTTTCTATATCTTGCATCCTGCGTCTGTGGCGGGATATATATGCCATACTTATCATTTCTCACTCGATATTTGAACACTGTTCCCCACTCCATATTTTGCTTCTATGTTCCAGTACGAAATAATGAAATGTTCTGTACGCCTGACAACTTAAATGGCAACCCAGGCTGGTAAAATTCCCTTGCATATATTACTATCTATTACAAACTAGAAGAACGTAACATATAAACTTTTAAAGCGGTATCTATAAAGATGATGTTATTAATTAACAAAATTTTAACAAAAGGACGAAACCCATCTAATATTGTTATTGTTCGATTTTTAAACAAGAAGAGTTTATCTGAGTTATGGTGTAACTTCAGAAATGTCAAAAAGCCATATGATAAGAAGGTGAAACCTAACCTTTTCATGCCTAAAAATAAATATAATATTTCTTACGATTCAAGTGAAAAGATTCATTTTTCTGCATATTTTTTATTGGTAAGCTGAAAACATAAAATATAAGTTATATTTTCTAAATAATTGATCATAAGCAAGTAAATATTCCTTTGTATTAACAATTTTTAAATAGGGTATACCAATTTGTGCATTTGTGCTTGGTACATGGCAAATTCAAAGACTTAAATGGAAATTAGATTTATTAGAAAGACTGAACAGCCGTATTAATCAAGAACCTATTGAATTACCAGAAGAGTAAGGCTAATCAAATTTGTAATATCTTCATTATTATAAAATTTTATAATTCAATGAACAATTTTATTTAGTTTAGAAGATTTAGAATCAAAAGAATATTATCCTATTAAAGTGAGAGGAACATTTTTACATGACAAAGAATTTATGGCAGGATATAGAAGTTTAATAGTAGATGGAAAACCATTAGATAGACCTATGTTTGGACTAAATAAAGATGCAAGAGGATATCATATCATTACACCATTTAAATTGGCAGATCGAGAGTGAGTAAATTAATTGTCCTTAATTCTTGTCTGTTTTACATGTTTACAATGTCCTATAGTTTAACAATTTTGGTAAATCGTGGATGGGTTCCAAAAATGCATAAAAATCCACAAACAAGACAAGAAGGTCAGATAGATGGAGAAACAGAAATTGTAGGAATTTTAAGATTGAATGAGAGGAGACCATCCTTTGTCCCTAAAAATCGACCAAACCGTAATATGTGGTATTATAGGTATGTAAAAATATTATTATGATAATTTCAAGATAAATGATCATGTTATTCTCCAATTAAGATTTTATGAAAGCAGCTCTAGTAATTTTTATAATAAACTAACATGAAAAAAGTAAGTGACGTTAAAGCTTCGCATATTTTATTAATGACAGATAAATGTAATAGTCTTGAGTATCTAATGATCTGTTAATAAAGCTTCAAATTTATATACTTTTCGGTCTACTAGAAATTATTACTGAAACATTTTTATTTTAAGTTTTATTCAAATATTTCTAGTAAAAGTAAATTTAGCCATATTTTATTCTTTATCAGCATTTAAAGACTATTAAAACATAATACTTTCAGTTTACATATAATTAAAACGAATGTGTGAACTTCTTTTTCGTAGAAGAACTTATGTAATTCATTAAAAAATATAGAAATGTAATTAAATCGCGTTAAATGAATTTTTATCTGATAAATGATATCTTTTTTATTTTTTATTAGCCATTTATGGTTGCTATTTCATTCTTTATCGTCATAAATAACAGAACAATAATTGGTTAACTGATTACGTGGAGACTTTTATGGGATCATTTATCATGGAATTATTATGTTTAATTTCATAATCCTTTTGTTTTGCTAACATTTTGAATGAAACTAAAACTATATGTTTATTTGTTCTCTAGAGATGTGTATCAAATGTCTGAAAAGGGAGGCACATCTCCCATATATCTTGAAGCAGTTGTAGAAGACAAGTCATATAAGTATCCAGTAGGTGGTCAAACAAGAGTAGAATTACGAAATGAACATTTTAGTTATATCTTGACTTGGTATAGTCTCTCATTAATCACTTCCTACTTATGGTATAGGAAGTTTGTAAAAGGAATACCAGTAACCGCGTAAAAACAATGTTGCATTGTATAAACATTTAAGGGTGTGAAGAAAATAGTTATCTGAAAATATTATTATATAGATTAACTTATATTTTTTTTTTCATGTGATCATTGGCGTGATCACAAATATATATATCGGATGTGCATGTATATATAAAAATTATACATTAGCATATGTTTAATATTTCTATAATTTTATAAAACTTAATACTTATGTAATTTAGCGTTAATAATCTAGTAAATAAATTGATGGCGATACTCGCAGAATTTTTTATTTTATAATGTAACAAAGTTAATGTTTGATACCAATAAGAGAATATCGGTTCTTCATCAAAAATGTTGCTCTTTATTATCATAACAACAACAGTGATAACCATTACCAACAAAACTGTCAACAATGGTCATGGTATACAATTACATTGAAGAAGTCAGCATAGAAAATACAAATATGAAAATATACCATACAAATATGAAAATACATCATGTACATGCTACATCGACTTTCCTTCTTTTTATAATGTATGTATGTATTTATTCTAGTATAATAATATTATCGCTTTTGTAGAATCCGCAAGTAATCATTTAAACGATAACTACGACCGAGGACGTGTTTATTTAACTTTCCAATTTGTTGTGCCCATATGAAATTTCTTGATTAACGTTGTATATCATAGTGATTGATCATGGCATCCTCTAACATTTTCAGGTACCGAAAGAGGTATTACATTTATTTAAATGATACGTATATTATATTTGAACATAGTATCTAACATAGAAAATGTTATGTACTTTTTATTGTAGTTTATTCTGGAATAATGCCTATCCGTTTAAGCAAACAATTTAGTAAACGGTATATAATATCATCTTACATCACTGCGGCTTTCCAACCTAATATATCTCCTCGAATGTATCAAAAAATAAAAAAGATGCGAAAAATTAGGTATATGCGACCTTACAATAATTTTTCAAAATTATTATATCTATCTATAAAAACCGTTATACTTCATATCGATATTCTAAATCGATAACATTTCAGGTTAACTGAAGTGAGAACGATCGAGTAACTCGTTGCAAACAGACTGTCGCAAAATTTGTTTCGAGGAATGCAATATACCGTAGATAATGTATCAAGTTCATTCAGATTTACTAAACTACATATTCATATTTGATATATGTATTTTCTTTCCTATTTTCACTTAACGAGCACCAGGATCAATGAAAATAATAATAGTTGAATCGTATTAGTTTTAAAATGTCTATGCAATTAATGTTAAATAATAATACAATAAATGAAATTTTTCTTATTGTCGTGCCACAATTAAATAGGTAGACGTAAGAAGCGTTAACATTATGTGCATAGGATATAGTCTAAAAATAACCTTTTTTACATATTCAGATGTATACATATATAATTATAACGATTCTACTACACACTTTAAAAGTACCAAATACAAATTATAAGTCGTTCAATTCGCGAAAATTTCATAAAATACATTGTACAAACGAAAACAAAATTAATTCTTCTTACCAAATATTTTGCTCGCTTTTATTTCTTTTCTTTTCTTTTTTCTTAGTTTTTTTTACTAGCAATTACACTGTACAGCAAATTGTAACTTTTTCCCAAATCTGTAATATTTATTTGATAACTCTTGCGGAGCTTAACTTCCTGAATACGAATCGACAAACAAAATTGTTCTATCACCCTTAATTTTTGAAAAATATAACTTTTTCCAAAAACGCACGATTTTTGGTTAAAATGAAGAATCACACCACAATTAAAGAAGTTAGAGGGTTCGTTCTTATCCTAAAAGTTAACGATAGTTTTCCGAGTTTATCAACATCTATAATTATATTTATTTGTACTTTTGAATAATTGCAATTCGTCATCAAAGTTTAGAAATAAGCCGCCGAGCGTACCTCCTACGCACTATTCTTACATTTTTACAAAAACTTCTTTATCCAGTACGAATTAGCTATACGGTATCATATTCCGTAGACTTTTCCGAAGAAGAAATCATAGTGAGAAAATGTCGGGATGGTCACTAATGTTGTCCGGACGGTAAAATATACATTTGCAACGCGTGAGCTGTATTTTGCCGCCACGCAGCAATTGCTCATTTATCTAGACTCGACAGGGCCGTAGCCATGCATACTTGTTACCAAAACATCGGTCAATATATCTCATTTTATATATATGTAACATGTATATATTTTCATATATTTTTTTATACTGATTGCTAAATTATAAAAAATTTCTTTCAATCATTTGTAATTTAAAACAATTTCATTATTTAATACAAATGACTTTTTAATATAAGGTTGTTAAAACATAAACACAATTATTTATGGATTTATAAGAGTTTTTTAATGTGATTATAACGCTTTCCCAAACACAGTAATGTTTGGATGTTATTTAATAACAGGATTTGAAGATGATGCAAAAGGTAGCGTTTAAGTTTTATTTAAGCATATTTATTTATCACGACACTTTACCGTGACATCAATTTATAAATTTTAGATATCCACATGACGAATCCTCGACATAGGATTGATTGTTTATAGAAGAAAAATATTTTGCCATGCGTTGCGTAGAGAAGTGTGCTGTCAATTTGCAATCCATGCTGCAGATAATCTTTTACTTTATATATATGTCATATTTTCTGCAAAAGAATTTTATTAATGCCTAAGCAATTATGTTTATTCTTTAGCAGCGTCATGTTGTAACATATAATTCACATTTTGCATTGAATACTTTACACTGAAATTTTTCAAAAAGCTAATGGAAAATATTTTTTGACTTTATAATAAATATATTATTATATTTAAACAATAAATATATATTCATATATATACTTTAAACGAGATCCAATCTCTTTTCAATATTGACATCGATTATATTTAGTTACGGCCCTGCCGAGTTTAGATAAATGAGCAATGGCTGCGTGGCGGCAAAACACAGTTCATGCGTTGCAAATGTATATTTTACCGTCCTGACAAATCCAATCGAGTATTTACTATTGACATCGATTATATTTAGTTACGGCCCTGCCGAGTTTAGATAAATGAGCAATGGCTGCGTGGCGGCAAAACACAGTTCATGCGTTGCAAATGTATATTTTACCGTCCTGACAACATTGGTGATCATCCCAACATTTTCTCACAATGATTTCTTCTTCGGAAAAGTGTACAGAATACGATACCGTATATCAAATTCGTGCTGGATAAAGAACTTTTTGCACAAATACAAAAATAGTGCATAAGAAGTACGCTCGACGGTTCAATTTTAAATTTTGATGACCAATTGCAATTATTCAAAAGCATAAATAATTATATGAATATCTCTCGCCTAACCTTTAAGATAAGAATGAACTTCCAAACTTCTTACTTTTCGCGCAATCCTTCATTATAGCAAAAAATCGTGCGTTTTTTTAGAAACTCATATTTTTCAAAAACTGAGAGTGATAGAGCAATTTCGTTTGCGAATTCGTATTTAGGAAGTTAAGCTGTACAAAATTTACCGAATTACAGATTAAAATTCGTGTCGAACAATGTCATTATATATCTAGCAGGCTTTTCATACGTTTCCACAGAATATGTTCGACGAAGGTACAACCACTATTGCACTACAAAATCTCTCATCCAATTTATCCTTTCCACTGTCTACATTCATTTGAGATTGAGTTAACGCTCTTTACTCATCCAACACGCAAGTGCGTACCAATGCGTCGCACACCGAGTAGGGATCGCAGTTGCTACTGGGTCTCCTATCTTCCAAATAACCTTTCTTTTCCTCAGCAACGCTTCGAGGAATGCGAATACTAACATTGCGATTGGCCACGCCGGCACTGAAGTCGTGTATACTGCTAGTTTCACATTTTCCTGTTAAACGGCGTTCATTGTCCTTTCCTCCGCGGGGATCATATGCTTGGATATGTCTAAGATGTTGTTTGCTTAGCTTGTTGATCGCCTTTTCGATCTCGTTAATGCCATTCTCGGCACGCATTGCTTTCGTCGAGAAGTTCGTGTGTGCTCCAGCACCATTCCACGAGCCTTCCATCGGTTTCGGGTCTAGAGTAACGACTACGCCATACTCCTCGGCTACGCGATGAAGAAGAAACCTAGCAATCCATAAGTCGTCCCCAGCTGATATTCCGCTGCATGGACCGACTTGGAACTCCCATTGCGAGGGCATCACTTCCGCATTAGTACCGGCAATCTTTACGCCAGCGTAAAGACAAGCTCGATAATGTGCCTCGACGATTTCACGACCAATTACTTTATCAGCGCCCACGCCACAGTAGTAGGGTCCTTGAGGACCAGGGAAACCGTTTTTCGGCCAGCCAAGCGGTCTTTTATCGAAATCAAGGAAGGTATACTCTTGCTCGATTCCGAACCATGGGTCTTGACCCTTAGCAGCTTCCATGGCCTCATTACACTTGAAACGCTTATTCGACGTGGTCGGGGTCATGTCGCTATAGTAAGTGTCACAGAGTACCAGCTTGTTATTTCCGCGGCGGATGGGGTCGTTGTAGATCGCCACCGGGCAAAGGTAAATGTCGCTGTTCGCGCCGTCTGCTTGGTAGGTCGAGCTTCCGTCGTACGTCCATATTGGCAGTTCTGAAAACGAACAACCGATATTTAGTTAAAAAATCTTTCCTCCTGATTCTAATAAAATATACATTTTATTTTACCGTAAGTTTAACTTTAATTTGATGTTTTAGAAGTTATAATATACTTTATACACGGATTGTTAGGCACTATTTTTCAAGTACTTGCAATAATCTGACAAAAAAATGTTTTTAACAAAATGTTTTTCATATTTAATTTTCAAAATTTTTGAAAAAAGATTTTCTTTTTTTAATTTTTTTCTTGCAATTATATAGAACACGGAAAATACAGTAACTTTTGTTAAAAACATTGTTTTGTCAGATTATCACAAGGACTTGAAACATCGTGCCTAATAATCCGTAGGATACCCTTCATGTTTGGGTTTTATCTTTTAATAATTTAGAAAAGTCATTTTAATGAACGATTTTTAACGGGATTCGATTCGAACGATAGAAGTCACTCAAATTGTGTAACAGTTTTACTATTGTTATAAAAAGTTATTGCCATTGCATACCTGGAAAAATAAACTCCAATAATAATTTTTATACTCAATAATTTGTATATTTTGATACATTTACAAGATCAACTCTCTTTAAATAGAAAGAAAATGGATTTTTTATTTGTTTTCATGAAAATATTTCAAATACACTGTATTGTGTGTTGTTTATATGAATACTTTATTGCTTTTAGCTTAGATACTCAACTTACAATTTTTTATCTTTTACGAATCAATTTTTTATACAGACATTTTTGTAAAACCAAATGATAAGAATGTAATTTTTTAATCAAGGCACAAATATTTTATAAGCAACTTTACTTTACAATTATGTTATTTCTTTAATAATTATTAGAAATTTAATTTGTATTGGAGACAAATTCTTTTCATTAGTTATTTTTACAATGTATACAAGGTGTCTCATATAATTGGAATCCGAAGACGTAACGTAAGATGGAATAAAATATTATATTGTGGAATTAATTTTATGCATTTTTTGCATTGATATATAAAAAAAATTCTGTGACAATATTTTTGTTTCGATGGAACCCTATACTTTCGATTACAGTTATGGATGTACAATACCTATCTTCTCATCCTCTGTAATAAATATTCAAATGTGTATTTTGTCTTAAAATTATTTATCTGAAAGTTTTTGCAATTAAAAACTTGTTGAATTTCATTACATGCGTAATTATTATATATGTAAAACGCGCCAGCTTTTCCTACAAATTTTATATTTCTAGCAAAATTATTTTGTATGATATCTTGAACACTAATAACAGGTCGAGAAAGTATGATCTTCATCCATATGTTGAACAGTATTGTTTAACACGATATTAATATCTATATATACTTTATTTTATAGCCTGATTCGTTTTACCACATGATATTTTAATGTATTTTTAATTGTTTTAACATTACAATTAATAAATAATTTCAATGACTGGTTTCAAATCTTTTCTTCCTGCAATTACTAAATATATACAGCAGCTTTTATTAAAACTAATGTTGACATCTATTGAATCCCAGATATAATTATACAGGGTGTCTCAGCAACGGTAGTACAACCAGGAAGGAATTCTACCCTCAGAAATGAATCGAAAAAAAAAAGAATAAAATTTTTCCAGAAAATCGATTTTGAAAATTCACCAAGTACACGTGCATTTAGCTATGCCTTAGATGTATGGAACATCAATACATCAGTATCGGTGGTACAACCGAGGAGAAGGTGATTTTACACGAAAAGAACAAATCGAAAATAAAAAATAAAATTTTTTTATTCCAAGCTTCTACATACAGAAACGATTTGAAAGTAAAGAATAAAATTTTTTCATTCGAAGCTTCGTTTTTGAGAAAATCGACTTTGAATATCCACCGCGTACGCTGGTATACTGATAGTCCATCCCCCTTAGTCTAAGTTAAGTGCATGCATACTCGGTGAATATTCGAAGTCGATTTTCTGAACAACGAAGCTTCGAATGAAAAAATTTTATTCTCCTTTTTCGATTCGTTTCTGAATATAAAATCACCCTTTCCCCCATCGTTACTGGGACACCCTGTATATACCTACTTATTTTCATTACATCAGTTAATTATTATCTACGCATATATATAATTAATATATTTACGCATACCATATTTAAATTCATATTACAAATTCTAATTACAAATTTCTAATTACAATTCACATTGCAAGTTCTAATATTCAGCTTGTCCCAGTTCCATAGAAAATCCTATGTAAGAAGAGAACGCAGTTCATGGAGTAATAGATAAAATAGGAATTCCTATAAATAGAAAAGAAAATATGAAACAATAAATTACAAGCCATAGTATTTTTCGTACAAATTGATAAAAATTATTCTAGCTATATGATGCATTTATATGAAAAGAAAATGTGTAGTTACTGTAAATATTAATTGAACTTATTTAACTGATGTTCGATACAGCGTACTATTGTTACCTACATACTACTCGATTTTCCTTTTGCCAATATAGAATCAGTGCTTAATTGTAAGCAACAGTCTTATTTTTACTCCGATAAAAGAGCTTGTATATGTTCTTATAACACAGCTACCGATTTGTGACCTTGACTATCTTTAGGATACATTAATGTTCCGATTCTTACAGTTTTCATGCTGGATATTAAGAAAATTGACCTACTCAATTTCTGGTTCGTTTATTGCTAAAGAAAAATTTTTCTGTATATATTTAGTAAATATTACTTTTATATTATAAAGAGCTTTAAAGGGATCAACGGAAAAAAATTCTATTTTCGCGAAACTATTATTTATTTAAAATATCCTTCAACAAAGTGTTTGAAGTTTTCTTATTAATAAATCTTTAAAACTTAAAATTATTAAAACATTGGTTTATAATATTTTGTATACAAAACAAAGTTAAGATATCACTACATTTCATAATAATTACACAAAAAGACATTCAATATTGGATTTTTTTAAAATATTGAATGAAAATAAGTTGTCTGATAAAAATTAATTGTAGTATTTTTAGTTTTATAGGAAATCTATACTTCGATGAAACATAATGCTTTATATTTTAGATCAGAAATATATATATCTCAAGAACAATATTTTTTCATTTTGAAGTATCGAGAATAATTTCATTTGGTATAATATACTGGTAATATATATAAGAATTAATTAACTTATAAGAATAATTAATTATAATTTTAATTGACTACATATTTATTTTCTCGCATTTACTCAAAGATGATTATACACATTTTAATTAACTTTTGGCTTTTCACAATATTTTATTTTATCTATATTATTAACTGACATTGATGACTGTGGAGAGTTAACAGAAGAATTCAAATTTCGTAATTAATTTATTCTTTTGAAAATTGATCAGCTATAACTGAATTTTTCATAATAATTGTATAATAAAAATATCTAAATATCTTAAATTGATAAATTGATAATTAAAAAAAAGATATAAATTTTGAAATGCATTAATATAAAAATCTGGAAATAAAAATTAAAAGATTTTATTACTATTATATAACAATAATTTTGATTTATTTTCTACAAGCATGTAGTCTGGTATTTTCATATTTTTTCCCCCTTATCAATAAAATTATCAATACTCCAAATAGTATTCTCTATTATATAATAGTATTCAACAAAAATTTCAAAAAATCCCAAAGTTCTAAAACATCGCTTTAATTCAAAAAATTATGGAAGAAAATAATTAGAAATTTTTTAAATATAATTTAATAAAATAAATTATTAAGTTACCCGACGACACAGAGAACAAACGTATAATCGATTCCATGCAAGTACTATTTTTAATCGTCGGCATTCAAACGTGTCCCCGTAAATTCTACGCGCCGCAGATACTAATAGTTCTGTAGCATATTATACGCAGAATCTCATGAATGCAGACAAACGCTATTCGAAATGCTGACAAACGTTTGGGGCCGATGCAAATGTGTCGAGTGTAGGAAATCAACAACTATTTTGCACGTCGTGTCTTATGTGCCATTAACATTCATCATACATCGTCCATAACGCTCGAATTGCAAGGGCGAATTGAGAGACATACGAAAAAGACAAAAGTGAAACGTTCCGGGATGCGAGTATCCGCGTGTAAAATATCGAATATGATCATAGGGAGTGTATCGTGACATAATATAGGACGCGATTAGATAATTCGTTGATTGCACCTAAGATGCGCAACTCGATGTTTTTGTAATGGAGAGGCGACTCAAGGCACATTTCCATTAATCGGTTTCTGCGCTATGTATCTGTCAGGCACGTGCTTCACGTATCGCAGTACCATTTACATATGTTACTATGCAAAAAGGTGCTTTGATTCTTTACACGACGGCTTTGTAATGGGTGATTTGTTTTCATTCAGCACACTGAAACAGTTTGATAGGATTTTGACGTGAGTAATTGAAGTAACAAGTCTCATTATTTTTATAATTAAAAATAACCTTTTTCTAATAAAAGAGTAGCAAAACTAATACGAGATGTCATTTATATATTTTCAATAAAACTAGGCAAAGGAATAAACAATATAATAACAAATTATTGAAGATACAAAATTATTGGAGTTTTCATGGTCACAACAAGGTTTCTATAATTAATACTGAACGAGGTTTATATGTCCTTCTGAAAATGGACACTCACAAGAACATTATATAAGATGTACTACACTGAATCAATTAGAAAGTTATGAATTGAAAATTACTAGGCTTACCTTTGTTTCATAAATTATTAATCCGTGGTTAGGACTTTAAATTATCTTTTTGTTTATGATATGAGATAGATAAATGATTAAATGTAAGTTGAATATTTTCAAACTTAATTCAACTTAAAATTTTATTTGGCATAATTTCTATTGTTTGTTTTTTCTTGTTAAGTGTGTATTTTGAATAAGCACATGTAAATAAAACAATTTTTTAATAAAAAGACATTGATTAATTAAAATATTATACACAAGTGTCAAAGGCTACCATATAATTTTAAATTGCCGTTTAATAACAAGTATAACAAATACCAACCTGATGGATTTTTCGGCACAAAGTCTACCGTCCTGGTCTTACTTCGTATACCCTCACCGGTACCATCGATCCAGATGTATTTCGCCTGAATTTTATCCTCCGGTTGGGGCAGGTCGAGGTATTTACTTAACAAGGTCTTGTCTAAGGCCGCGTTCGGCGACTCCCTCAGCATAACGCGCGACATTGTGATGCTGCAATACGATAAGAATGGTATTAATAAGTAAGAATATTATTTCCTGTCACAAAACATGAAGCACTTATAATATATCACCAAACAACGTTGCACCATCGTATAATGTCTGCAATGTTATATTATGAAATATTTCGATTATTATGTTGCATCTTAATTTTCCTGTATTATACATAAAACACTGATCGAGTAACAATAAAGGCCATACTGAAATTCGATTAAAATTATTTGATCAATCTCGAACAAATTTGCGACGTATCGAGATTCGAATCGTTCGTTATGATATTTGCCGGAGAGCATCGATTCTGGATTTAGGTGGACAGTGGCGCCCCTCGATGGCGGGAAGTCGTACTTTAGTTCTGATATTAACGAGGATTCATTCGCACGTTTCGGATGCAGCGGCACACGGGTATAAAGGATTCTCTCAATTTATTCTTGGTGGGACAGAAAGAGAGGTGCGTCTATGTATCACGCAACACGCATCAGGCATCACGCAGTACGCACGCGAGAACCGCGTGTTATTCCCGAGAGTATACACGCGTGATGTCAGTCGCCCACAGGCAACACGTTCGAACGACGTTCCTAAAGTCTTTAACCGATATCATAACCCTAACCACGCACGTGCAAATATTTCGAACGTTTCGAAGGTCGGCCCGGGCTATTTTTAAAATTTTTTCCCTTTCTTCCTTGAACGATGCATACGGCTGATGGAGCCAACAAATTCACAAATATAGCAAATGTAGGCATATTTAGAGGTTCCATATATGTATGTTATTTTCTCTGTGTGTGTCTTTACATTTTCGAATTAGGTTAATGAGCCTATAATGAGTATTTTGGGAACGACAAGTATGTAATAGTTTCGAAATAGAATTTCAACAAAGTTATTACTATTTCAATATATAGGGAGATTTTGTTTGCTTCGTATTAAATTACGGTATTGATCATTTAGTAAACATTGTGAATATAGAAACGAGTCCATCGGTGGTAAATGTATGTATGTATGTATTTTGTAATAAAGAAATAAAAAGATTTGATTAGAACAAAATTAATGTCAAGTTCGAAGGAACTAGCAATTTTCCTATTTTCGATTGGACAAATAAAATATGTTTTCTTCTATGTTAATGACTATTAATATAAAGTGTACAAAATTAATGTTGCATTGAAAATTGGTTTTATATATACATTATATTGTTAATAATAAAACTTAACTATTATACTAACGATCATAATCATTTTTATTGTCTGGTTTGATACAAATATTTTACAAACTAATATTACGCTTTTAAGAAGAAATAATAATAGAGGTTAAGTATTCTTTCAGATTGTAATACGTCATGACCTAGTAAAGAAACTTTTAACTTCAAAACTACTAATCTATATTGTTGATTATTTTTCATTTCTATTCAGCAAAATAAAGTTTAGTCTGCATAGTACAATATATCCCCGTCATTTTGTTATATTGTACACTTTGTTTCCGAACACGTGCTTAAATTGGGACAAAGCTACATAAGCTGCGTGAACGTGTAACACGTCGTTCAAGTAGGGATCTAAAATTTTATTTAAATAAACCTTACATGAGGTAGAATCAGCCAAAAATAGATTCTCGAATGCTTCGGTTTTTGGCATAAATAAATTATTGTGCAAGAAAATATTTATTAGTTCATTACACCACTAATTTTGATTTACAAAAAAGTGAATTTGTTTTAAATTAAACTTAGAGAAAAATTAATTTTTCATTCCTAAATGGTTCATTTTACGAGAAATATATTATTTTATATGCGTGAATATAGTACGAGATATTTTTCATTATTGCTGGCGTCATCAACTTTGATAGTTAGGTTAATTATATTTCCTAAATGAAACGCTTTAAAGTACTCTAAAACTTACACAAATATGTATATAATATTTCATATTTTAGTTTGTGTGCTATAAATATAAATTATAATTTTTAATTTGTAATTATATATTTTAATTATTCATAGTTAGGTGTCAGGCTATATATTTTGTGCGTGCGCGCGCGCGCGTGTGTGTGTGTGTTAAATAGGTATATTTAATATTTTTTCTGTCTCCTTCGTTTAAAATAATTTTTAGTTTAAGTTTTTAATATCATTGATATTTTGGATGATTGATATTGAATAGAACAAACATCAAATAGATCATTATTGAAATTTTAAAATAGAATACATAGTTGAATATATTCCATGGGTAATTTAAAATTTTCCAATGGAGGTCATTCAACCTTTGCTTAGTCACTGAAATCAAATATAGTTTATCGATATATCAAATAACAACATCTATTTTATTTGTCAACATTTGACTTTTATTTTGTACTAAGAAATATTTAATCTTTTTAATGTTTCACAATACATTCCTAAAAACATATTATTACACAAAGTGTAAACAAAAACTATATTATTATACAAATAAAACAAAAACTATTTTATTACAACTAAAGTAGATTATCTTGATTAATAATACACTTCCTTCCTAGCTAAATTATTATGTAAATTTAGTTTAATATTCTAATTAGGTAATTAAATATGAAATGAAACTTGCATAATCACATATAATATTCATAAAATATAATATATTTATTAACATGCATATATTCCAAATTAATTGCTTACAACACTTACACAACTTAATTGTTATGATACTAACAGAAATTGATCTTTTTCCATAAAAATACATAAATTATTAAAATTATACAAAATATATAAATTATTTTCTAAACTGGGAATCCGTTTTTAAATTTTTGGCGCCAGTTTCAAATTTAGTACATTATTTTCAGATTATCCGTGTACTTGCAAAATTGAAATAAAATTGAAACTTACTGCATCCAAAATTTTGTAAAATTTTTATAAATGTAATTTCAAAAATAGATTCCTATTTCTAACTAGTTGTCTAAAAATTTCTTACTAAAATACTACCCTGGTTAAAAACATATTTTTGTTAAATATATAAAAAAGAAAAATAATAAAAGCACGAATTATATTTTTTAAGAGCATCTTCTCTGTCAATTTATTTATTATCAAAATACTATGTAACAAGACATAAATATTAGCTAAAAAATTCATGTTATTTGCATGCATGGAATTAATGTAAAAAGAAAGTAAGATTGTCAACTATTCCGTGAAAGTTTAAAATGATTCTAACAATGGATAATAGAAAAGATAAGATCGATATTTTGACGAAAATGTTAATACAATAGTTATATTAGCATAACAAATTTTTGGATCATGCGTCACTGCGTCACATGCATTCTCTATTATCACGTGACTGTTTCATTGGTACTAATTCAGATCCTTAAGTAAAGTACCACGAGTCAGCCATTCCAAAAAATATTTAAATTTTAGCAGAATATAACGAAATTTCATTTTCAATTATCATACGTGAAATGAAAAATTAACGAGAGCTAAAAATATACTAATGACGTCAAAAATTTCGCAACGATGGCAGTTTCCGCTTAATTTCATAGTCCGTGCTGAAATAAAAGAACGAGGGCAAGGGAAACTTTTGAAGAAAAATTGAAAAAAATAATTCTAGCATTTCTTAAAAAAGGTATAAGAAGACAAACGAAAAGATCGAAATTTACGACTGACGTAAGAAAAACATCTACTGATTAAATTAAGTCGAATACATATGTATATAACGAGTATAGGAATTTAATACTATCACTACGAAATACGAAGTGTTATATAAATACTTGACTTACATTTAACACGTTCACTTATTATACTTAATGTTATACTAAACATTTCCTTTAAAAATTTTCTTCAAAACTGTGAAAGAAGATTAACATTACACTTATCAAACAAGTAAAAATCACTGATTTCAGATTTTTGGTATTTTCAATTATATGAAAATGAAAAGTTATTTTTAGCGATATTAATATTAATTTTTATTGGAATAGGAATGTAATTATATATACATTTTTTAAATTTATTTTATATCTGAAATTATGATTTATTTTTATAATTATTCTTATATTTCAATTGTAATATATATTTCATACTTATATGCATATATAAATAAAAAGATATATATATAATAAATTATTGAATGAATATATACATATATACTTATTCATTAATATATTTTCATTATATCACTTTAATTGTTATTAATTATATTATACTCGTATTTTAATTATATAAATATAAAATTTTAAATATAAGATTTTATAAAAATATAAACTATTTAATTATAAGAAATGGTAATGCACAAATTCTTGGCGTTCCAAAAATAGTAATAAAAAATAGTAATAGACAAGTTATTGATGTGATCTTTTCACAAATATTATATAGGGTGGTTCACTCACTAGTGGACTCAAAAACAGTAAGTACCATCGTCTAAACACAATTAAACATTTCCACAGGGTTTTACACAGTGATCTGACGAATGTGTGCAGTGACTAAATATGTGTGCGTATATATATGAGCTATAAAACAAGTGTTAAGAATTTTTGAATAAGTGGTGCTGCCTTTGAGTTCGCTAAAAAACGAATCATCCTGTATATATCTTTCAAAATACGACAGAAAATATTCTCCTTTGCTTGATAATAATTTAATTACTGCTTTAATTTTGAGGAAGCACGGAAACTTTTTGCGACGAATAAATGGAAAGTTCCTCCAGATGTGCTAGTTTTTCAATCGAAATGTTGCATGCCTCATAAATGTGCAATCATCTTCAATCGACATTAACTGCCCGTTCGGAGCTCGTTATGATCCAATGACGCGTTTCTTAGACAATAATCATAATCCGTAATTGCTCGAATCAATTGGTAGAAAGATACATACAAAGTGACAATTTAGTGACATAATCAAAAAAAAAAAATCAATTTCTCGTGAAAAAATGAATCGGAAGTCTAAAATAAAATTTATTCAGAATAGGACTTTTTCAAAGAGGAAGATCTGATCATAAATTAAGCCTTTGCACTCGAGAAGTGAGAAGCTTCAGTCACTGTTTCATAAAATTTGGAAGATCGATATTTAATGTAAT